TTTGACCTCATTAAAGTGTTATCAAATTCGAGGTAACAAACTATAGCAACTAGAACCTTTGACATATTCCATTTGTTTTTTCCAGTGTTCTAATTCTTTCCCTCTATAATTAAGATGTTCTTTACTGTCAGTAACAGAAGGGTGGGTCCTTTGCTTGGCTGGCCACCAGTGAAAGACTGGAGACAAGATCAGCATAAACGACCTCGGAAAGTGTCTTCTATGTCTAAGATAATTTGATGTTTCTTTTTAAATCACCATTAAATACTTGATGCAAAACATTTAACTGTACTGCATATAAAAATATAACAATAGCCCCTTCTTCTCCCAAGTCCCAGTAATACCTCTCCGAGCAGGATAACTTCCTTGTACATATTGTGTGGAAATATAGTCACAAATGAGATCATACTACATGCATGGTACTGTGACTTGGTGTTTTCTAAAAAGTATATTTTTGATGTCTCTTGAAATTAGCACTCATAGATCTGCTTCATTTCTTTTTAAATAACTATGCATAGTTGCTTTGTGATTTATTTAATTAATGGTGGACATTTATGTATTTTCAATTATGGAAAAAGGATGAAATACCTTTTAGCACTTCCACAAATGTATCTGTGGGATAAATTCCTAAGAGCAGAATAAAGACATATATTAAGTTTGATAGATATGGCTAAAATATCTTCCAAATAGTTTTATACCAATCTTTCCTCCTATCAACCGTGCATAAGAATACTCTTCTACACACTCAGCATACAGGGCCTCCACTTTCTAAGCCTTTGCAATCAGATTATACAATTTTCTTGGTAACAGATTTCTTTCAGTCTGTGATTCTAAGTTTCTGATAATAGAAGTTATAAGAAAATATTTTTTAGCAATTTGGAAAAAAGTACAAAAAAGAAAATGAAAATAATCTTATCTCAGAAAATACCATTCTGAGATAAGTATTAACATTTGGATATTAATTTTGAATATTCTGAGATAAGTATTAACATTTGGATATTAATTTTGAATATTTTTAAAATTATATTATGACCATTTATCCATATCATTAAATGTTAGTTGAAAACATTCTAAATGGCTATATAATGCTACAAATGGATGTACTATAACTCATTT